TAAATCTATATGAAAGCGCATCGGAAATAGCCAAAAAATTTAAACAAACCTCGTCAATCCCCTCGTGGGTCTCATGAATCAAAAAGAACAATAACATGCAGCAAAAACAGATGCAGTTAACGCAAGTAACAGTCCCTCTAGAATTCAATGCGTAGATTTGATAAACCTGATTGATTAATACTGCAAAAGAAATTGGAACTTAAGCTAAATCCTAGTTATTAAATCAACTCGAAATATACCAAGAAAAATTGAAAACACAACTTCGTTATCTCTTTGGCGGGTGGCGCAGATCAGAGCCTATATCCTAGGCGAGGAGAGAGGCGGGCCAGCCGCGACAGGCTGAGGAAGGTGAGGGCTGGCGCGGAGTTCCGTTGACTGTGAGTGCAGACCGGACAGAAGTCCGGTGAACCGTAATTCCGTCGATGTCCTAGACACGAGACGCGACAACGCCGACGGGCGACAGCACATTCGGATAGTGAGAGAATGGAAGGAAAGCGAGTGAGCCGGACAGCAGGGGGGTTCGGCGTTCGCGGAAGTAGGCTTGTTACGCGTTCTCAGGATGGGACGCGACGTTCTTCGTATGTATTGGAGACAATACTATGACCAGTCGGTATCTATTTCCGACGTCTAATCGTACCGGATATTATTTTTCCAGTTGGAGTATTGTAAATACTGATCCAGTGGTGTAGCGCGATGTAACCGCGCGCCGGGTAACATACGCCGCCTAGATAATTTATCCCCGCTGTAAACGTAGCGAAACGGAAAAATGGTTCCGTCGGCCATCCTCCTATACGCGAAATTGACTGTTGGATAGGACGGTCGAAAGACGAGGAGCCCGTCGGATTTTGCCGCAAAGAACGAAACATGCGTGGCGTGAAGTTTACGGTGCGCGGCGTATTCTTGCGCCGAGACAGAAGTGCGCAAACGTTTGTCGTCGAGCACATATCCCGCCGTAACTGGCGCCGTTTATTACTCCGTCCAGAAATTTCCGCCGACAATCGCGAGGCTGGTATTCGGTGTGTTTTCTCCGTGTAGTGTCGCCTAAAACTAGATTATGTAGTGTAATTGTTTAGTCACAAATAGGAAGGCTTCTGAAGGATTTGTGGATTTGGGCGAGTCAGTCATTAATAAGATTATCACAGTTTTAGATAGTCTTGATCTATTGTTCATAAAGGTGAAGTCGAATAACGATGAGAATATATCAGTAGAATTCAAGTTAATGGTTTGAGTGGATGTGAATGATCATCGGTATTGTGGGATAGAAAATGCCCCCTCAATTTACCTTAAGGGAAAATTCTATAAATAGCAAATGGGGTGGTGAGATTCTAGATATGCCTGTTATGTGCTGAATGTTACCTAAAGAAGGAAGCTAATACTAGAGGTTTAAGTGTTGACGATTATGTATGATGCTTGCTGGATATGGGTGTTTTAACCTTAGGAGATGAGCATATGACGAAATGGCAGTATACGTGGTGAAAGTTGGTGAGTAAGCTTTAGTGGAAGATAAGAATTAGAGAGAGTCACGGTTAGATGGTTTGTTCACAATTAACGTGAGGACCCTTCGGATGATACCGGGTTTGAAGTTGATGGTATTAATTGACTTATGTTAATAGAAGATAGAGGTAGACCTAAAAAAAACTTGTTGACAAAGTATTATAAAATGGATACTTCATTATTTAGTATTTTAATATGAAATTTTGAATTTTAACATGCAGCACATAATGAGCCGAAGAAAGGGATTCATGTAGCTGGACTCGAAAGATATAGTGGGGAACACAAGGCTTGATCTTGATATGTGAACGTAATATTTGCACCATTCTGAACATCCTTTATTTAAGTTTCAATAATAATATGAAAAGTTTAGTAATGAGACCAAAATTTTTTTTTCATCTCATAAAGCATTTTCACCAATGCTACCCTCTATTCGGAAATATTCATTTCAG